AACTTACCTTAGCGTTAAATCCGGTCAAAGTTTTTCATAGACATATTTGTGAAACAAACTACACTGTCCACCGTTCATTGCCTCACTCTTAAGATTACAGATAGACGCTGGTGAAATTTTTTTGTTGTGAATATGCCCAGAGTATTTCAATCCAAAAATGAATATCACACCAGCTTGATGTGCAAATGGACTTAGTAAGCGTGCTCAAGGATCAAACTATCCTTTAACACAAGATTGAAAAAAGGCCAAATATTTCCTCCTCAGCAAACACAGCCTCCAGCAATGCTCTTCCGAATAAATTTACAACCGGCGAAGCTAGCTAATATCGGGGTGACAACTTTTAAACTCCTCCCCTTTCTTATATCTACACCAGCCAGGTCCAGCTGATGCCGAGCTCTCCTCCTTCTCTTTAGCTCGAGGAGCTCGTTTCCATTATAGAGCGCGTCCATTCTGAAGTAGTGGCGTATTGAATGCGATGTGGCCTATACAATGACTTGCGGGGGCCAGCCGATGTACAAGTCAGTGTTTTATCCTCCCAGACAATTTACCGTCCCCGGAGGGTAGAAGGCTTGGTTGGCCTGGGCGGGAGTCGACCCGGGATTTGAACCCAGGACCGCGCGAGTGGTAAGCGCGCCACTTGTCACTACACCAACTCATGCCCGCCCATACTACACGCATATTTACAGATATAGCTATATGAGCTAAGGTGGGTGTTCATTTTTCCATATTCCCTAATCAATCCTTCCCATCAGTAAGCAAAAATCTGAAAGTAAAAAATGTCGCTGAAGTGTGCGACGTTATTGAGATTCGGTACTTGATTTTCCCTGTTTTTTTTTCCGAGTTTCTTGTTCAGGCAAGCTAAATACCCCCCCCCCCCCGCTCGACATAATTACAAGCGTATATTGCATGAAGTATAAGGCTTCAGCATTTCGACGCACAACAACGGCAACATTCTCCACCAGCCCATATTAGTTATTATCACTTTCCGTCACCACCCATTGATGTTCCTGTTCTAGCCTCCCCCCCCCCCGAAGAAACTGACTTCCTACACTTGCTGCGGCCCGCGCTATGAATTTCCCGACTCCTGACTTCCCCTAGCCTCTTACTGACTCTTAGCTGTGATAACGTTCTGTAACCCACCAACAATGTTACCGACCAACCATCTGTGTCACCCTTGACTTCCTACGCCTGCTGCGACCCGCGCTTTAAATTTCTCGATTTTTTTTAGAGCCTTTAACGGATCTTATCAGCTGTGATAACAGTCTCCTACACACCGATAGTGTTCCCTTCCCACCCAATATATCGAAATTAACTTTTACAGTTGCTGCGATTCGCGATATGAATTTGGTGATCTAAAGCCATTGAAGCATTTTGCGGACGGACGAACATACTACATACATACATACAGATAAACCGACACACAGAGTATTGCTTTATGGAACAGAGTGATTTATTTACAGTCCTTGTATTCAACTGTTTTCTAGCATTCAATCGCGAGTTGGAACTAGCATTCTGACCTTTCTGAAGAATAAATTCCTCATTAATTACGGCCAGAGGGGAGTACTGAAGGTGCGACTTGCCGTTACTCATTTGCTATGCCCAGTGGAGACATCAAATCTAGCGTATATCGTCAATGACAGTGACATAATGAACAGAAAGAACTTGAAGTTGAGTAGTATGAGAAACATCTAGAAACTACTATAAAGTGAGGAAATCTGGAAAAGCGACTTAGAGGCCTTACGACGCAGCTTGCAGCACAGTTGATGTGAATCGGGGGTTAACCATAGTTTCCTTTCCGCATGTACCTTCAAGAGAATGGAAACTGCAGGCCTTTTATGAGAATCACAGCCCATGAAAGCCAAATGGAATGAAACTTACATGCTCAGATTTGATTTTACGCGCAGTAAAGAGAAAGGTGAAGCAGAATGGATGGAAGGTCACCACCTCTGTAGACCGGGTGTGCATCAAGAATTATTCAACGTTACTGACAATAAATTTTCTATTGAATTGTTACCTGAGTGAACAGGACTTACCGTGCAGAAGGAGCACTCATAAAAACTGGAAGCTGTTTTGAAGTAGGATAG